TTTTTTTTTTTTTTTTTTTTTTCAATGAAGCATTGAAATGTTATTCTGTCTTATAGATTTTACTACTTCTCTGCTCAGAGAAGTTTGGCTTGAAGCAGAGATCATTCATGTGGGGAAAAAATTTAGCTGATCGTCTCTTCATTGAAAAGAATAAGGAATTTCATGTTGTTTCTGTGCCCCCATCCTCTCCTCTTTTTCCCTCCTTCCCTTCCTCTCTACCCCCTTCTCTTCTCTCTCCCTCTCTCCCTTCTCTGTGTAATGGTTTTACACAATTTATTTCTCACAGTTACTATAACTGGGCTTTGGCTGCTCCCATGATCCTTAGCTTGCAAGTATTCCAGAAGAGTCTGCCGAAGGTGAGATGATCCACCATTTGTTTTCTAAGTATCTACAACATATGGTATTTAGAAAAATTCATATGTGCACACTTCTAAACTAGATACTACTCAAAGTTTTATTTAAAATTAATTTAATATTCTAGCACCTGGCACCCAGGTGGCTCAGTTGGTTTAGTGTCTGACTTCATTCAGCTCAGGTCATGATCTCACAGTTGGTGAGTTGGAGCAACATTAAAAAAAAAAGTTTTTAATGAAATTAGATTAATATTACAGAAGATCCAAAGATTTTTATGTGCCCACTCAAATTATCTCATGCCCCAAATCTAGGAAACTTGCTGGGCTGCCATATCTTTGTCATTTTTATTAGATGTTTATACTGGTTTCTGGTTGGGTATAAAAGTTGAGAGATTTGATTGTTAGCTAAATATGGAATGCATGAAAAGGAATTCCTCTCATTAATATGGAAAGAAGCAGCGGGACGAGGGTGATGTGCCCACCAGAAGTGTGATATTAGTGTGATTGGATAAGATATAGAACCTGTGATATAGAACCTGAAGATTTGTTCTAAATCTGTCAGCGCAGTTGGTCCTCATAACTCATGAGAACATGTTTTCCAGTGGTAGAGAAATGAGAGCAGCACCTACCAGCCCCCTGCTCCTGTTTAGCCAGACCACCCAGTCTCATCCCATAGAACTGCTGCAAAGCCGTGCTACCACAAAAGAGGACTGTCCATCTGTCAGAGGTGTTACAAACTCTGGAGGAGTTGGGAGGTGTAGAGAATGTTGCTCACATTCCATAATAAGGCACTGTCCTGCAGGGGGATGATAGAAAGCAGTTGGGTGTTTTGTGACTGACAGATGACTAGACTGACCCAAATTGATTGTTTCCAGGCCACAGTCGAGTCCTGGGTCAAAGATAAGATGCCAAAGAAATCTGGTCGCTGGTGGTTTTGGCGTAAGAGAGAAAGCATGACCAAACAGGTAACGGACCCGGAGAGGTAATTTTTTTCCATGGGCTGAAAAGAAGCAAATTTTTCATTTTTTCAGAAAACATTTTTGCCAAGCACAAGAAAATCAATTTGGGCTTATAATACTGTCTTACGGTAATTATAGCTGCCATTTATGAACAGTTTGATGTGCAGGTACTATGCTAGATGCTTTACGTACATTACCCTTCACCTTTACTACAGCCCTTCAGTATAGATGTTTGAGTTCCCATTTTACAAGTAAAGAAGCTAGGGCACGAAGAGGTGAGGTGAGTTGACCAAACACGCATAACTGGTGAAGGACAGAGCTAGGGTTTGGCCAAGGGTTCAGCTCCAAAGCCTCTTTCCCTTTGCCCACCCACTATATTACCTTCCAGACAGAAGCAAGAGCTTGTTCTCCTACCGAGGAGGAGGCAGTGGGGGCGGCGGCATGGGGAACCTCTGTTCTGTAGTACTGGTGTCCCTGGAGCAGACCGAATGAATGTGGACCAGTTGTATTATAGTCTGTGACTTGAAATGGTGCTCTTTTAAAAGTTTTTACTTCTGGGGGCGCCTGGGTGGTGCAGTCGGTTAAGTGTCCGACTTCAGCCAGGTCACGATCTCGCGGTCTGTGAGTTCGAGCCCTGCGTCAGGCTCTGGGCTGATGGCTCAGAGCCTGGAGCCTGCTTCCGATTCTGTGTCTCCCTCTCTCTCTGCCCCTCCCCCGTTCATGCTGTCTCTCTCTGTCTTAAAAATAAATAAAAAACGTTGAAAAAAAAATGTTTTAAAAAAAAAGTTTTTACTTCTGGGGCACCTGGGAGGCTCTGTCAATTGAGTGTCCAACTCTTGATTTGGGCTCAGGTCATAATCTCACAGTTCATGAGTTTGAGCCCTGCATCGGGCTCTGCAATGACAGTACAGAGCCTGCCTCGGATTCTCTCTCCCTCTCTCTCTCTGCCCCTCCTCTGCTCTTGCTCTTCCTCAAAATAAGTAAATAAACTTTAAAAAAAGTTTTTAATTGTTTTGTAGTGAACAGCTTTTGCATAACAGCATATGACTTCTGTCTCAGATTTCTGTCCTTTGGCTCAAAATAGAGAAAGGCTGTTTCTTAAGCATTTTCAAGTTAGGGATTCAGAAAACCATTTTGCTTATTGCTAGAGAGGGCTGCTGATAAATTTTTACCTGTCAGTCTCTGGGGGCAGGTGGGGAATAATTGCACATCGCCATTGCTGTCTTATTGTTTTAGCTGCCAGAGGCCAAGGAAGGAAAATCCGAGGTACCGCCAACCAGTGACCTGCCATCAAGTGCAAAGGAGCCAGCCAGTGGCAGGTGGGGCACCCTGTCCTTCCTCCAGACTCACAGCACTTGCTCACTCACTGCTTTTTAGCCATTGTATTCAAGCTGATTTTGACAATTTTGATTAATTTTTGGTCAGAAACTTCTTTCTCATAGGGACAACCATGACCATAAGTGGCTTGTTTGTGCCACTCAGAAGATAATTTCTGCTTTTCTAAAAATTATAAGCAGTTTAGAGGAGTAAATACACCCATCACTGCTTTTTAAATGCCTTGCTCCCATCCTGGAGCCATGGAATCAGATGCCTGTAAAATGGAGGCCTCTGAGAAAGGGATCTTGAGGAGTCCTAAGATGTGCTATCCTCGGTGTCTCCGCCCTCTAGCTTCCTATCCGACACAAAAGGGAGATGCAAAAGAATTTCAGAGGAAGCCTAGTGGGCTCAGTTGATAAAGCATGCAACTCTTGATCTCGGGGTCATGAGTTAGAGCCCCACATTGGGATAGAAATTTCTTTAAATTAGGGGCACCTGGGTGGTTTAGTTGGTTGAACATCTAACTCTTGGGGTTGGCACAGGTCATGATCTCACAGTTGCGGGTTGGACTCCCAGGCTGGGCATGGAGCCTATTTAAGATTCTCTCTCCTTCTCCCTCTTCCCCAGCCCCACCCCTACTCACATGAGTATACACTCTATCTAAAAAAAACAAAAAACAAAATTAGTGTGGGTCCTTTTCATTTCTTGGAAAATGTAGCCCCTCTTGGATATTTGTATTGGCTGGCCCTGAAAGGAGGTGCCACTATACACCTTGTTCTCATTTCTGCTGTTCTTCTACTTGCCCAGCCAGACTTTTTCCTTCTCCTCCTGCTCCAGCTCTTTAATTCAGCTGCTGGTCTGAGCCTGAGCTTTCATTTTCTTGCTCTTTACCCTCTTCTTTCAAAAGGGGTTTATAGGGCACTTGGGTAGCTCAGTCCATTAAGCATCTGACTCTTGATTTCAGCTCACAGTTTGTGAGATTGAGCCCCAAGTCAGGCTCTACACTGACACCATGGAGCCTGCTTGGGATTCTCTCCCTCTGTCCCTCTCTCTCTCCACCTTGCCCCCACCCCCTCACTCTCGTTTGTACTCTCTCTCAAAATAAATATTTTTTTTAAAGGAAGGGTATATAGAATCCTTTTTATTAGTTTTTTAAATTTGTATAAGCAACTATATTTTCTACAGTTTGTTATCTTTTGAAATGTATGTTGTCTTTTCAACAAGAGTCAGTAGACCTAGTGGCATTCACTGGTCATAGCAGAAAATAATCAGTCATAGCCAGACTGCTGGCTAATCATGAGAGGGAGAAGGTGGCCTTCTCCCTTCATGATGTGAATACTCAGGCACTGGAAATCGAGTGAACAACTCTTCCCTTCCCCGGAATGGATTTAGGATCTCTTTGTTTCTTTGATCCTAAAGAAAAGCTCTTGTCATTAAAATGCCCTGCTGCCTCTTCAGTAACTGGATTGCTGTTGATAGGCCGGCTGAGGATGACTCATCCAGTGATGAAGGGTCACAGGAGCTCGAAGAATCCATCAAAGTGGACCCTGTTCCCACAGAGCCCCCAAGCCATGGCAGCACAACCTCCTATAAAAAGTCTCTTCGACTCTCTTCAGACCAAATTGTGAGTCCTGTGTGATCCGTGTGGATCCAGTCAGATTACTTTAGTAACTGTTTAATTGGACATGCTTCTTGCACCACCTCAGACTTCTACTTCAGTCTCTGAGAGTGAACCAACAGATAAGTATTTTTAACCTTCTTCCCAGATGTACCTTACATAGCCAGGCCATCACTTTTTTTTTTTTTTTTTTTTTTTTTTTTTTTTTTTTAGGAGCCACAACAACAGACAAATGTCATTTTCTTACTTAAATTCAGTTTCCTTTTTCCTGTTGGTTTCCCATTCCCTTTCACACATTTTCAGTATGAAATGGTCTCGCTGTGCCCTAGGGCGGTCGGGTGTGGAGGAAGAGCAGAGACATTTGGTTTTTTGGAGAATCAGAAAAATTTCTTAGAATTCCAAAACACCATTCAGGCAGTGGCTCCCTCAACTCTTTGTGAACAAGCTATGCACGCAGCACTGGGCTGTGTGTGTGCCAACGCAACAGAAACCATCCTGCCTTAAGCTGACGTCCTGAAACACTGGTGGTGGTTTGTAAATATTCAGACCCTGTTGAGAATTGTATGTTTTCAGCTGATTTTTTTTCTCTTATTATAGTAATCATATTTATGTATTTCTTTCCATTCCTTATACATTTCTGCCATATATATATATATATGTATATGTATACACACACACGCACACATGTGTATATATGTATGTACACATACATATATTTCAGAGATTAGGAGATTAGAATTTTTTTTCACTTAACATGATACCTTTGTAATCTCTCAGTGACTACATATTATTGGAAACTGACTTAGTTGCACATAATTTCATCAAAGTGATACACCATGAATTTTCAAAATTCTCCCTTTATGATTTTCTTTATTCTCTTACTTTTTATAAAAGGCAAAACTGAAGCTCCAAGATGGCCCAAATGATGTTGTGTTTAGTATTACAACCCAATATCAAGGTACCTGCCGCTGTGCAGGGACCATTTACCTGTGGAACTGGAATGACAAGATCATCATCTCTGATATTGACGGAACAATAACCAAGTAAGCACGAGCCCATGGTGGGTGGCAGGGAGGAGATAGGTACAGGTCACTGTGCAATGGGGGGCAGGATTGGGGGAATCCCTCCTTGACCACCGTCAGGAAGTGTTTTAAACTACACGCATGGAGACTTGAATACAGAGGTCACACATGGTCACACACAGGATCATTCTGTGGATGGAGGAGATGGGTGGAGCTGTACAAATTAACATCAGAAACTTTTAGCAAGATTTAGTTATGTAGTCTCTAAGTTCTGGCATTAAAATTTAAAAAAAAAACTGTTGAGATTAGGGAGAAGAAAAAGAGGATGTGTTGCGAATTATCTCTGAAAATGAACGTCTGGCTCTTGTGTCTGATTCTATTTTTAGAAATTCCTCTGTGAGTGTTCAGGGGACTGCCTCACTGCTATGCAAGTTGTGACAAAATCACCCTTGTAGATTATATTGTCCCCCCACTCTGCCTCTACCCAGTGGTTTTTGGCAGCTGGTATTTAAATAGGTAAACACTTGGCTGTATATGCTTCGTTTTCTGATACCTTTTCCTATTTCTTCCCTCTCAGGTCTGATGCTTTGGGGCAGATTCTTCCACAGCTGGGTAAAGACTGGACTCATCAGGGTATAGCAAAGCTCTACCATTCCATCAATGAGTAGGTATCTTGTCCCACATGGCCACGTACTCAAGTGAGCTAGAATTTTGCTTTAAGAACTACAGAAAAATGGCATACATCAGTCCATGGAAATTGTGTCTTCATGATCCAGCTATTCCTGCTTTCCTTTCCTGTAGACTCATACAAAGAAAAGTGTCAGCCGCCATTTCTGGAACATGAGCTGTGTATCAGTCATTGCGTTACATGTTTAACCTGTACCTCTCATCCTCACAGTGCTAGGAGTTTGAGGCACTACTTATATATATCTGTGGTTATAGTTATCATTGGGGGGTTAAGCTTTTACAGAAGAGCCAGATTTACATTTTTTTTAATTGGGGTTGCTTTGTTGTTGTTTAAGAGAACAAGTAGGAGGGAGGGGTAGAGAGAGAAAATCTGAAGCAGGCTCCACACCCAGCACAGAGTCCAAGGCAGGACTCGATCTCACAACCCTGAGATCATGACCTGAGCCGAAACCAAAAGTCGGACACTCAAAAATCAAAAGCCACTTCATCGCCCCTAATTGGATATTTTTAAGTTGGATTTCACTGAGTAGCTAATACTTGCATGCATGGGGTCATCCATGGGGTCCTCTCTGTTGGGGCAACAGAGAAAACAGTGCTGTGGCCTTTGTGGGACCATAATCCATATGAGTTAAATAGATTTGAAAATTTAGTGTCTTGGGGCGCCTGGGTGGCTCATTCGGTTAAATGTCTGACTTTGGCTCAGCTCATGAGCTCACAGTTTGCAAGTTTGAGCCTCGCATTGGGCTCTGTGCTGACAGCTCGGAGCCTGGGGCCTGCTTCAGATTCTGTGTCTCCCTCTCTCTCTGCCTCTCCCTCCCTCATGTTTGCTCGCTCACTCTCTCTCTCTCAAAAATAAATATTAAAAAAAAAAAGGAAAAAGAAAACTTAGTGTCTTAAGCATTAGTTGAGAATGCCATAGTATGAAAATTGTATGTCTGTTACCCATGATTTTGCTCCTTGTCTTACAGAATGGTTTGCATTCTACAAATTGTCTTTATAAATGAGATCCTTTGCATCTTGCCTTTATGCAGATAACTTAAAGATAGTCCAGGGTTTTTGTTCCGTAATCTGACTTTCATTGACTGGTTGCTGAAGATATATCAGTATTTATAAATTTAGCATAATCCCTAGTTGCATATATCCCCATTTTTCCCTATGATGTTTTCTATGGAGAAGTGAGAACTTTATAATCCTAACTACTTTCCTTATTAAATTTAAGAATTTGATTTTCACAACAAACGAAGGGAGCTTTATTTGGATCTTTTAAAAGAATAGTCCCTTTTTTTTTTTTTCCATTTTTGCCACAGTATGTGTTTCTAAACAGGATGTGTTCTCTTTTCTTTCAGGAATGGCTACAAGTTTCTGTATTGCTCCGCCCGTGCCATCGGCATGGCCGACATGACCCGTGGCTACCTGCACTGGGTCAATGACAAGGGCACAATCTTGCCTCGGGGCCCTCTGATGTTATCCCCTAGCAGCTTGTTCTCTGCCTTCCACAGGTACACCTGTGTGTGCATTCATGTGTGTGCACATGTGTGGGTGCATGCGCCTGCTCGCGCTGGGGGAAAGGGTCTGAATGGGGAGGTTGGAGGTCAAGCTCATCATAAGGGTTTGTATCTGATTCTGAGCTTCGGCATTTCTTGGTTCTTCGGCTCCCCCAGACCCAGAGCATTCTAACTCAGAGCTCATCCTAGTCTGTGTCAAACACGGTCCAAAAATCAAGCTGTCACGTTTTCTCCTTCCCTAAACACCATCACTCAGAGCCTTAGTCTTTCTTGACTGGCAAAGGAAGAGAAAGAAAGATATCAGTTATAAAATATTTTAAGAAATGAGTGATTGTGAGCACTAAAATCTTTTCAGGATCACATACCAGGAAAAACTACCATTTCAGGTTTGGTCATTGTATTTGTACTTTTTTTTTTTCTCCCTAGGGAAGTGATAGAAAAGAAACCAGAGAAATTCAAAATAGAGTGTCTAAATGATATCAAGAATCTGTTTGCCCCCTCTAAGCAGCCCTTCTATGCCGCCTTTGGAAACCGTCCAAATGTAAGTGTGTAGCCTTTGGTATGGTGGGTAAAATTCAGAGGCGTGTATTTTTTAGGGTACAGCCCGGATATAATTGTCAAACCAATTGTATAAACAGAATGAATGTTCTGCTAAATGGGTTTTCATTTATCTGTTCCAAATTTCTGCTGTTGGGTCCTGTAAGACATCTGCCCTAGAGTTTTGGTATATGAGAAAGGGCACTTTCTCTTTGTTTCTATGGCTTTGATTCCATCTCCTCGGGCAGTCCTGACTCCTGTGTAAGTGGTTCTAAGCCATGTCCTTGGATCCACCCCAGAGAGTGCTCCGCCTTCGCGAAAGCTTCCCAGCCTGCCTACCCACACACGGGCCCTCAGTTTCCAGGCGTGCGGAAGGTGTTGCCACCTGGCCTCTGGCAGGCAGCAGGGCCCCTCTCCCATTCCAGGGCCCCTGGCGTCTGTCAGCCCCCAGTTTTCTGACTCCGAGTGCCCTTGGGTTTGGCCCCACTCTTTCAGTTTGTCTAAAGTTCAGTTTTAGCAGTGGCAGAGGGACACTGTGCCTGCACCACGTGTTCCCAAGACAGCCTTTGTGTTCATACTGTTTTTCTGGCTCACAAGGAACCAGAGAAGCATCTCCTGATTTCTTCTCTCATAATCACCTTATTTAATGTTTTCTTCTGCAGGATGTCTATGCTTATACGCAAGTTGGAGTTCCAGACTGCAGAATATTCACCGTGAACCCCAAGGGTGAATTAATACAAGAAAGGACCAAAGGGAACAAGTCATCGTAAGTGTGCTCCTCCTCCTCAGCCCGCCGCCCGGCAGCCAGGGGTGGAGTTGGGAACAGAGATTCTGAGGATCAGGCCCAGCTCGAAATATCAGTAGTGTACCTGTCTGTTGGAGGCTTTCCTCTTTGCCTGGGTGTGTCCTTCTCTGTAATAGTGTCTGTACTGGGATCACTGACTATTTTAGACTTCGAAGAGGAAGGCTGTGTCCTGGGAAGGGATGCATGCCCGTCTCAGATCCTACTGCATTGAGGAATCTCTGTAACTAGCTTCACGATATGCAATCCTGTGCTCTTACATCAATTTCAGAGTAACACTTTGTGCGTTTTTCCCCCAATCCCTTCTCTTAGGTATCACAGACTGAGCGAGCTCGTGGAGCATGTGTTCCCACTTCTCAATAAGGAACAGAATTCTGCCTTTCCGTGCCCAGAGTTCAGCTCCTTCTGCTATTGGCGAGACCCGATCCCCAAAGTGGACCTGGACGACCTGGCGTGAAATGGCACCTCCAGGGGCGATCCTCCGTCACTCGCCTCGCAGCAAGGGAAGGTGACCAGCACTTCTGCTGGACAGAGGACACTGGGCTACCCTCCAAGCCACAGGTGCAGAATGGGACTCAATGCTGACAGCCAGGGACCAGCAGGCACAGGGAGAGCTCCTGAAGTTGGAACTGCTGTCATCCTTCCCCTTCCTAGGCCTGGCAGAGCTGTGGCTCAGTGCCCTGGGCAAGCGGGCAGGGGAGGACTCGGACCTGACCTTGGAAGCCTGGGCTCCTATCACTGGTCGTCCTCATACACGCGCTGTGTCAAGTGTGTGCTGGTGCTTCTTTAACTGAATAATTTAAAAGGAAGAAAAAAGAAGCTAAATAAGAGTGGACCAAAACATGTATAAAGTAAAAGTGTTATCGTTTCCACTGGGCAGTTGAGAGCGTTTCTCTCTAAAACCAGGGCTTTCTTTATGGGATCAGGGTCCACTGAGCTGCCAAAGGTCCAGTTAGTGATTGATGTTGGTTCACACCGCCTATGCACATTTCTTCTGTGGGCGCCTCCTTCCCTCCTGTGGTGAGACAAGACACCTGCTCAGGCGGGCTGCTCTGGACAGGGGCCCAGGCCACCGTCCCAGCCCCGCAGATGTGGGCTTCTGGGGAAGGAAAGTCCCTTAGATCACTGTCTTCTCAGCTGTGGACAAAGCCAGGACAGACAGGTGTTGCTGGGCCTGCTTGGTGCCTATAGGAAGAGTACTGCCAACAGCAGAAGTAGATTGGACAAGTAACTGATCTGTTTTCAGAGAGGCCTTAGAAATGCAAATACATACTTGTGTGGGGTTCTGGAAGAGTCCTTTTCTCTGCTCTGCCTGCAGCTCAGTTTCTCCGCCTGGTTGTAATGAGACATGTCAGTCTCAGAACAGCACCGGGGGAGGGTTCTGCCCCATCAGCCCCTCCAGAACCGGGAGCCTCAGTGTCAACAGTCACCTCAGTGTTCGAAGCCAGAGAACTGTTGGAGAGGAGGATTCTGTACACACACACAGGCCTCAGCTGGGAGGGAAGCGGTGAGCCGAGTTCCAGAGCAGCGAGGGGAGCTGCAGATCCAGGCGCCCGCTGGGGATGGTTTCCTGTCCCCCTCCCTCTGCCCACCCCCCCACCCCCCGACCCCCCGCGCTTGCCCGTAGTTGTACTGTGGCATTCGCTCCCCACCCCCCCCGTTTTAGT